GCAAAATTATGGGAAAGAAAAAAGTGTTTGCTAATCGGAGACCTGAGGTCCGCCGGAGACCTAAATCACAAAAAGGTGCGGCGATGATTCATTCTTATGATATTTCAAAGATTCTTCAAACACTTCTTCTACTCTTTGTTACGCATCTTTACGCATTTGGTGGCTGCTCATTGCCTATTCATTTAGAAAAACGGGCTCACCTAAATTCCATAAAACTCTTAAATTTCCCGTGCAAACGCCCGCATTGAAACGAACACTGAACCTTTGCTGGAGCAGATTTTTAAACAGTCTTTAAGTTATGGAATTACTCTGAATATTACTGAACAAGACTGAGATAACTACGCCGCATATATGAACTTCTGCGCGAGGAAGGAAGGAGGGGGAAGTGGAAAGCTTTAGCATTCTTGTTGTAGAAGCGGTGATAATTGAGATTGAACTCCTCTCGTCTCCGGACTCCATACGATTTCTCCTTTGCTTTTGTCATAAAAACGAATTCCAGCTTGCCTTCCGGAGACCTGCCGCCGACGTCTGTCCTAGATCCTTAGCCATGTTTTATCAATCTTGTCAATTTTGCATCCAAGTCAAGCTTATGCGACTCATTAGTGAGTCAGTGCGAGTTTGCTCCGCGAATGATAACAAAAGTATCAAGCAAAAAGCGTTATCGCTACCAACTCATAGAAACCCATTATATTTTTAGTTCTTAAAATTTGCTGAACTCAGGTTAAACTCTGCTGTTTCAAACAGAGTAAAATTTAGGCTTAAGAGACCATACAAATTTGTTGGAACATTTCTATATGCTCGTCTCGCCCTTTCCACAGAAAATTTTCTGCGTGATCCATCCAAAGAATGTGCTTGTGTTAATTTCTCATTTCCGAAAAATTCAAGAAACTCAAAGATTTTTTCAAAATTTTAATCAGATTTATCTGGAGGTAAAATGTTCAACCACCCTTCAATAAGCATAGCTGTATCATATCACATCCTACAATTTCCGTTTAAAAACAACATATCTTAAAAGAGTTTGTTAATGGAAGGGTAAGACATCAATTATAGTGAAAGGCTTTGCAGAAACCTACAGTAATCAAGACCTATTACTTTTAACATAAGACATTCATCATTGCATGAAGCAAAACCAAATTGCATAGATAATTGCCGGAAACCAGAATAGGAGACACAGTATGATATCTATGAGTACCGGCACTCCACACTCCTTCGAATGCCAGTAAACTGCCAAAGGCTGGAACAAAAATAATGTACTTGTAGATTATAGAAGAAAGCTCAACTCACCGGCAAGAATATGATGCAGATGATCTTAATTATGGTGTCTGTGTCAAAATCGCCCATTCTTTTGTTTCAAGTTAAATCTAACAAGGCTCTGGAAAAAAAGCATATTGTTCGAGAAGAAAGTTTAATAGTGTCGGATTCCTGGCATTTTTCAGTGCCTATGGAGCAAAGTATTAGTGAATTCTATTCGATGATGTCAAAAGCTAATTGCAAGGTTCTTATCTAACTTTCACTGGCAAAACAAGACGAAGACAAAAGCTTCTTAGAAGGAAATATTTGAAATACTAGGCCGATGACGAGAGATAACGGCCCATTCATGTCCCGCTTTGCGCAAAGCAAACAAACGTAAAACTGAGTCACTTCACACCTTCGTTGCCTTATTAGTATGGTTGCAGCAAAGGTATCAGCCTTTACTTTCTGTTGCATTTTGTGTGATTTATTTAGAACAAGGGGATCCGCCACAAAGAGACTTCATCAAAAATATTTTACACCAATAATAGACTAAGATATCAAAAAGTTCACACCTTCTTTATGTTCTGGGACCAGTTTACGTGTTGCGTAGCCAGAGATCCAGAAAAATGGCGAAGAACAAGAAATGGGTCGACAAGAAGAGGAATCCTGCATTTTTTGGTAGATGGAGAATCCCAAGTTTAAGTGGTGTTGC